TGAGTCGGAAACGACTCGACGGCACTTAACAACAACAGCTAGGGAGTCGGATCTGGGCACAACCCGTGTCCTTACCCTGTGCATGGCACTAAATCCTCTTTCATCAAAGTCTGGTGTGCTGTCCATGCTCTACAATGCACCAAGGAGGGACCTTTGTGTTTCCCGCAGTCCCTCACCTCAGGATGAGAAGGGGCACGCAGCGCCCCTTGGTAGCAAACGCATCCGGGCCACCAGCCACCTTGGTGCTACATCCCTCCCACATTGCATGCCGGGAGAAAACATTTCACCTGCGCAGGGCTCCACGAGGCTCAGCTGGCCTGAAGGCTCCACGCCACCTCCTGGCCTTTGCCTTCCTCTGTGACACGCTTCCCCCTGCTCCTCCCAGGGCTGGGGGTGGGGCGTGTCTGTGTGTGTGCGCCTGCGCGGACCTGCCCCGGCAGGAGCGCCCTCTGGTGCCTGGCGCTGGGGTGGGTGGACCGTTGGGGGCCTGCGCATCGTGGCTCCAGCAGGGCGAGCTCTTTTCCCTGTTTTCAGAAAGTACTGGTGATTAACCATCAGAGAACCCTCAGGAGGCACTGTCCTTATAAGTCAACGTCCTACTTTTAATCTTTTTGCATTTTATTCCCAGTCTCACATCTCCCTCCCAGATTGGCATTTTCTCAGGGAATCTGACATCTAAAAGTAACAGATTTTAAACGGAAAGCATTCCTTGCCCCCATTGAAAGGTGGTGCCCCACATGTATGGGGGACCCACCACTGATGAGGTCATGGTCAGTATGGCTGACAGACGATGACACTGCCATTCTCTGAGGGTGCCTCAGAAAGAGATCACACCATCAGTGTTGTCAGCCTGGATGAAGTCCTCTGCGTGTGACTTGCAGGCTGTGTCCCCCGTGGGCAGACCCGGAGCACAGGACTGGGGGGCCAGCTGAAGGGACCAGTGCGGTGGCTGCAGCCCACGTCCATCCTGAAATGTGCATTTAGGTGTGGGGTTTTGACCCATTGGGACTTACTCCAAATCTGAACCTAATAGGCTTTGGGAAAATGGGACCGAGAACCACATCTCTAGGGTGTTCCTGAGGTCCTGCGGGGACAGGGTGTTACACACTTTCCATTCAAGACAGCACAGCTGGCACATGGCCACCTGGCAGGGAACTAACTGGTCCTAGACCTCCTGATACCAGTATGACTGGCCTTCAGAGCAGAGGGGTGTCCCACCCTTGAGTGTCGTGACACCCCCAGTGCTCAAGATCCCAATCTTCTTTCCATGTGTCCTGCTCCTGGCACCCCTCCCGAGTGTCATTTGGTTGGCATCCCCATGCTCCGGGTCTCAATCTCCCTCTATGAGTCCCACTGCTAGTGTTGTCCTGGTCTGCGACCCTATGTTCAAGGTCTGATCTTCTCTGTCCCGTCGAGTGTCATCCACGCCTACACCCCTGCACTCAGGGTCCAATCCACTCTCCACCTGTCCCGTCCCTGAGTGTCGTCCACGTCCGCACCCCTGCACTCAGGGTCCAATCCGCTCTCCACCTGTCCCGTCCCTGAGTGCCGTCCAGGTCCTCACCCCCGTGCTCAGAGTTCCACTCCTCCCTCCATGAGTCCCACCCCCAGGGATGTCCTGGTTTGGGCCCACATGCTCAGGGACTGTGCTGAGAAACTACTAGACCCAAAGCCGGAGAGCTACAGGTAAAGCTGGTGAGCACTGGCACGTCTGACCTCCTCCTCAGGACCCAGCTTTGGGCACATGCTGATGACGGTTCTCCAATCTCCTCCCAAGTTGGAGGTCTGCCATCCACACGCCATGTTTGCAGCTTCTGCTTAACTTCTCAGTGTTTGTGGCGGGACGGCCTTGGGAGCTGATAGTACCGTACGGCATGCACTCCTTTCTTGGTTTCTCTTATTCAATGTGATTCTGAGTCTTCGTGTTGCTTTGTGTCCAACGCCTTATTCCTTTGCACTGCTGAGTAGTGCTCTGTTGTGGGTCATGATACACTCGTTTCCCACCTGTGTGGTTTTCTCTAGCTGCTTCTGCCCAACACAGGTGTCCAATCGTCCTCAACCGTCCTCCCACCTTTCCCACCCTCAAAGCGTAAAGCGAAATGCAAGTGCCGCCGACTCAGCCCCTCGCTGACTTTAGGGCCAGGTGGGGAGATTGCTCCCAACCCTCTGCTCTCATGTCACTTTTGGTCAAGAAAAGAAACAGACACTAGCTCTGTACTAGGGAGGCCTGGTGGCACAGCTGTCAAACCACTGGGCTTTAATTACAGGTCAGCAGTTCAAATCCATCAGCTGCTCCGGGGGAGAAACAGGAGGCAGTCTGCTCCCATAAAGATTCAGAGCCCTGCTTTGGGGGCAGTTCCATCTGTCCTGTAGGGTTGCTATGAATCAGAATCAACCTGAGGGCAGCAAGTTTGAGGGTTTTTTTTGGTTTGTCTCTGGACTGTATCAAATCCAAACTTTTCCTACCTAGCTGTGAAGTGCACCCCCTTCATTCATTTAATCCCACTGCACCTCGACACTGTCCAGACCCTAGCCCAAGGCCTGGCACAAGGAACAAACGAGGGACGTGTACATTTGAAAAGCACCTGTATTGCTGCGTATTAAACATGGGAAGAAAGCATTGTATGCCCCTGGGCTAGGCCTCTGTGAGGGCACAGGAGGTGTGCTTTCTTTTGATGCCCAATATCCAGTAATAACCGCGGTCCTCACATCTAACTTCACGTGACACTGCCGTGTGAAAAGCCTTTCTTACCAGACACACTTGGCAGAAAAACACTTTGGAAAAAACACTGTTTAAAGCAACCTGAATCTGTAAAGAGAAGAGCCTTAAAATAAGAACCCTCTTCCTTCCACCTCACTTTCACGGAGGGTTGGGCTACTTAAATACTTTAGAACTCACTTTCACCTGCTGAACCATTTCCTTCCTGAAAACATGGAGGAACTCTGGGTTTCTGGCTTTGCCGTCAGGTATCCAAATCCATTTTCACTTAATTTACAAAATTTGTTTCAATGTAACAGTAAAAAGTAGTTCGGGTCAACAAAAACATCTAAGGTCAAGATCTTCAGTGGCCATGAAAATAACTTTGTTCATTTACGTTTTATTGAAGAACTGTGCCCACTTTCCCGTGCCCTAAGATGAAGCGGGGCGAAGGCAAGTGGAATTCTTCTGGCTGCTGGCCGTGGGCCGACGACCCTTGCTCAGTGGAGCACAGAACTTTAAAGGGACAGGTCCATGCATGTGTGCCACAAGCTACATAAGGACGAAGCCGGCTCTGGGCATCGGCTCATCAGTAGGAGCGGATGGCAGGGGGGACTGTGGCACAGTCACTTTCGTTTAAGGTTTTGTCAATCACAGGTCTGTATTCCAGAGTGACCTTGAAAAGAAAGCCAGTCATCCGTTAGAGCCAGAAACGTACAAGCACCACCTCCCCAACCACTTCGAGAGCATTCACTAAGGACGTGGGCTCACACATGTGTACCAGGAACCCAGCAAAGAGAGGCTGTGGCTGCTGTTCAGGAGCAGAAATTTGGAAATGATGTAAACGTGCAGCCACAGGGCCCGGCTGCGCCAATCACAGGGATCCGTGCGGAGGAGTCACTGGAGTGACTGGAGTCCGAAGTCACTCAGGACAGATCGCAATCCTTTAGAAAAATGCTCCCAGGAGGACAGCTAGAGGAACGCTTCCACCGAGTCATGCTTAACTGTGTTTAAAACGTGTTCGCTACCAGTTCTTGACTTGCAAATTGGTATCTGTGCATACATCCACACTCACACAACAAAAGCTACGTATGTACACACACAACCTGCCACGAATACTTGAGACACTAACCACGCTGACCACTGCCCGGCAGGCGCACAGGTGAATTTCTTCCCTATTCCTCCTGCACCTTCTAAAATAATCATGTATTTTTAAAACAGACATAAACCACCTCAAACATGATGATGCCCGGCCTGTGTTATGGTGAAAACTCCTGACAGCCTGAAGCCAGCAACACACCAGGCACACAAGTTCTAGGTGACGGTGACAGGCCCTACGCCACTTCCACAGACCCAAACAGGACTGTCCTTACACGCTATGACAAGCCCAGGGCAAGCACTTGCTATCTTGCTGCCTGGCACAAAGCCAACAGGGTGACTTGTCCCATAGTCAGGAGTGGCTATTCTGTGTTCTGTGACACCTCTGCCCTCCTCTGCTGCCCAGGTGCTCAGGGCTCCCTGGGGCTGCCCCCAGGGGTTGGTGCCAACACAAGACGAAGGCTGGGGGCTCAGGGTCTCTTCCCGCCCCCTCTGCTCTGGCCACTGTGTTCCTCCTGGTCTCACTGAGTACACAATCACTGTTCACTCTCCTGCCCTACAGGCCAGGAGCAGTACCAGAGGCCTCCTGCAGGCCAGCCCTTCTGATGGTGGCTGGGAGCCTGGCTGACTCGTGTCTCTGTTGGGTCTGCCCCAAGCACATTCTGGTGCTGCGTCCCCCAGCTCATGACCTGCACATGTGACACCGGACAGGCAGACAGAGGGCAGAGAGCTGACACATACCTCCCCACAGAGCCCGCACCCAGCAGAGCCCGCACCCCGCAGAGCCCGCGCCCCACAGAGCCCACGCCCCACAGAGTGCACTCGTACCTTCCCGGTCTTAACATCGACGTAAGAGAGGGTGTGCTTTCTCCAGTGCTCCGTGAATGGTTTCCGCTGCTGCCCCTGAATGGGCTTAGAGTAATCATACTCGTCAATCCGCACCTGAGGCCAGAGACAGCCTGTGAGCTCAGCAAGGGCCGGTGACAAGCCTCTCCAGGTCCCCACCTCATGATGCAGCAACACCCTTGTCCTCTGTAGCCGTCGACAGATGGACCACAGACCTCACGAGTCCTCGCTCTCTGCCAGGCCCCACGTGGGCACAGAGCACTTGTTCCACCCTCGCTAAGCCCTGGGAGTTTGGCACTACCACCATCTCTAGTCCTGACAGCGGGAGCCCACTGCTCATGATAGTGTCAGGGGAGAAACACCAGGGTCCACGGCAGAGGGACGGGCGGTGTCAGGTGGGGACGTGTGGTGCCTGCAGGAGTGAGATGGGTGGTGCCAGGTGGGGACGTGTGGTGCCTGCAGGGGTGAGGGAGGAAGGGGTGGTGTCAGGTGGGGATGTGTAATGCCTGCAGGGGTGAGAGACAGGTGGTGTCAGATGGGGACGTGTGGTGCCTGCAGGAGTGAGATGGGTGGTGCCAGGTGGGGACGTGTGGTGCCTGCAGGGGTGAGGGTGGAAGGGGTGGTGTCAAGTGGGATGTGCGGTGCCTGCAGGGGTGAGACGGGCAGTGGGAAATGGGGACACGTGGTGCCTGCTGGGGTAAGGGAGGAATGGGTGGGGTCAAGTGGAGACGTGTGATGCCAGCAGGGGTGAGGGATGGGTGGTGTCAGGTGGGGATGTGTTGGTACGTGTCGGGGGCAGTGCCAGGTGGTGGACACGCTGTGTGTGGGGGCCCTGTGCACGCGCACCTTGTAGTCCTCCCTGGCGTGGGCGCCACGTGACTCCTTGCGGGCCTCGGCGCCGTAAATGGTCTGCAGCGCGCACAGCAGCAGGTTCTGCAGCTCCAGTGTCTCCACCAGGTCGGTGTTCCAGACCATTCCTGGGCACACACACAAGGCCTCCTGAGGGGCTGACAGGCGGGCGGAGGGGTGGACGACCTGGCTGTCCCTGGGGGCTCACTGGAACTCGCCAGAATGCACCAGAACGTGCAGCTCTCGGAGCAGTACGCACAGTCCACTCAAATAGTAAGCAAACATTCACTGCTGCTAAAGGCGGCAGACAGTGCCCCCAAGACCAGCCCCACCCGCCCCGTGGACCTGCACTCCTGGGCCCGGGCTCACCCCTGTCGAAGGTCTTGAGGTGCTGCAGGTCCCTGTAGAGCTGGCTGATCTTCTCGCAGCCCTCCTGGAGCACGCTGCCCACCCGGAACACCGCCGCGTGACTCTGCATCGACTACAACACAGAGCAAAGCGCACGAAGGTCAGGAGGGAGCCCGAGAGCCACTGACCCGACCCAACACTGGCTGTTTCTACCACACTCACAGAGATGCAATGGGAGGACCAGGAAAAGTGGGCGCTGGGACCACACATGGAACCAGAAAGGGACGCTACAATAGAAGCATTGTGAACGCGTTTCCCTGCAGGTGCTCTGTGGGACGCGGCTGGGACAGGCAGCTAACCATTCCTCCTGAGCAGGGAGTGGGCCGGGCCAGCTGGGGCAGAAAGGAGGGGCTGCCCTTGGCAGCCACAGGACATAACCTGCCCACTCAGCCCATCAGCTGGGGGGAGTTCCCATGGTCTGGTGGTCAACGAAGCACCGGGAACGTGGTAGACTCTGAGATGGAGGGTTGGGAAGCAGACGGAGGCTACGGGGCTGGACCCTCACTGCCACAATCTTGGCCCATTTTCTCATGAGTCACTCTCTGGTTGTTTGGTTTCTTTTGACAGCTCCTTGTACATTAAGGAACTCAGCCCTTTGTTCCTCCTGCTGCAGCTCCCTTCATTACCATTAGCTTTGGACTTTGGACGGTGTTACTGCAACGGTCCATTCACACACAGCCAAACGTGCCAGCATCTTCCCCACCTTCTGGATCAGCAGGGTGCTTCCACAGACTCCCCCGACCCACTACAGAAAAGGGCTCTTGTCCTCAGGTTTAAGGGCCCAATTTCCACACCTCATTTTTCAATCCTTTCGACATGTGCCTTAGCGTAAGTAACAAGGGATGACACCCTTCGATTTTTCCAAATTCCCTAGAAATCACAGCCTATTTCATGTGACACAGGAAGGTTCCCGGGCTAAAACACCCAGTGCACTATTTGCAGGATTACTGATGAAGAGGGTGACGGAAACCAAGAGAGCCCAAGCTCTTGCTGGTTAGGGAACATGTGACTGAGGGGCAGATCTCACACCATCTGCTATCACAGGACAGGCCACCAGCCTATGAGCTCGAGTGACTTGGACCCATCAGACCCAGGCCCCAGCCTACGAGCTCCTGGGTGGCTTGGACCTACTGGACCTGGGCCCCAGCTTGCTCCCTATGAGTGCCAGGACCTCAGCAGACAACTCACTGCCCCAGCCCACCAGCCTGCCCCTCATGGAGCTGCCAGGAGAGCCACTGGGAGGTCCTTCCCGTGGGAGGCCACAGAGCGCACACAGGAACCCAGACGTATAATGACAAGGCTTACCTCCCAGTAAAAATGCCAAAAGAGACAAGAGCTTGCAAACCCCCACCTCCTGGGGGCTGCACACAGCACCCCGCAACAAGTCATTCATGGCCCACGCCTACTTCTTCTACATCAGTTACAGCTCTGCTCCTGACAGTGGCACGTACTGTCCATGGGAAAGCAGCAGCCCAATAGACCCCAGAGGAGGAAAACGCAGGTGGGTGCTCTGTGTCCCACAGGTCATGAAAGGGTTAAAGACACTTCTAGAGCTGCTGGGCGCTGGTGTGACAATGACATGTGATTAAGTTCTAGGCAATGAGCTGGGAGCACAAGAGCCCCAGGGCCCAGGAAGCCGCTTAGAGGAAGCCGGGCCAGCGGGGGACAAGGCTTCCTTCAACTCTCCCATTCCCACCCCCAGGCCTGTGACCTAATGTCCATAGTGGCTGGAGAGCCAGACACCGCCTGGGGCTGGATGTGGCTGCGGATGGGACTGCACACAGGGACAAGGAACGCAGAGAGAAGGCGCCCGTATCCCCAAAGGAGCAGCCACACACAGGAGTGCAGAGAGAAGGCTCCCGTGTCCCCGAGGCTGCCCAGCCGCCACTGCAGCCCTTCATGTGGGTGAGAAACACAGCTGGGCCTATTTAAGTTGTCTCTCTTACACGCAGCTTAACGGACTCCTTACCCATACAGCAAGGACACATCCATGGACTTCCTCAGCCCCAGGACAGGCGGACTCCCACGGCATCCTCACCGGAAGTTGGGCCTTACCTTCTGCATGTTGAGTCGCAGCTCCGACGTCCTGATGCTTCCGTTTGCAAATCTCAGCTTGTCCAGATTTGCGACAGACTCTTCCCCAGCATTTGCTGTAATCGCGGGAACTTTATCTCCTAGTTAAGAAACAGGCAGAACTTAACCTTCGGGAAGGAAACCTCCAGGGAGAACAGGTGGATCTGGATGGCCAAGGCACGGCATGCCACACAGGGAATCTGGGAACAGCGGCCAGCCCATGACCAAGGGACATCTGTTACCAAAAGAGTGGAGAGAAGACAAGCAGGGATGCAAGCAGACACCAGCCCACGCTAAGGGTCAATGTGCACAGCGACCTGCGCCTGGAGCCCGTGCAGGGAAACGACACCCTGGACAGTGGCTCGCCAGCTTTCTGCCCAATTTAAACACATCCATTTGCCTCTTGTCAGAGGGAACCTGTGCTTCAGAACATCTGACCTCAGCTGTGCCTGCTGCAGGATGCTGGGCCAAATGGGAAACGTGCACCAAACCTGGTGTCAGGAGACAGCTAACCAAAGGCGGCCCAGGTCCCAGCAAGAAAGAGGGGCGGCCTCAGCACCTCCACTTCCGGAGTTGCTGGTCCATCAGGTGAGGGGTCCCGCTGAGGATGGGCTCTTTTGTTGTGTGACCTTCATCATGATGATGACAGTTACAAATGGGGGCATGTTAGCTTGTCACCTTCAGTTTGGACACATCGTAACACTGGGCCATGTTTAATCGGAGGGCTAATCAAGACTGCGCGTCTCTGAACCATCCCTCTCTCCAATTCAACAGTCAGACGAAGACCCTCGGCTCCGTAACAGCGCCAGAGGTGGCGTTCCCACCAGTGAACAGAGCTCCTCTACAGGCCCTGTTGCCTTGGGGCATCAGAAAAACAGTTTGAGAGATTTTCCCCCAAGCCCTATATTTTCACCCCAGAAGATGTTACTTTCGTCCAGGTGAATGACATTTCGTGGTGGTGGTGGTGGTGGTGTTAGGTGCTATCGAGTGGGCTCCGACTCACAGCAAATCCACATACAACCGAACAAAACACTGCCAGGTCCTGCACTAGCCTCACAATCCTCGCTGTGCTTGAGCCCATCACAGCAGCCACTGTGTCAATCCACTCATTGAGGGTCTTCCCCTCTTTCACTGACCCTCCATTTTACCAAGCATATCCTTCTCCGGGGAACGGTCCCCTCTGACAACATGACCAAAGGAGGTGAGATGGAGTTGGGCCATTCTTGCTCCCAAGGAGCATTGTGGCTGCCCTTCCTCCAGGACAGATCTGTTAGTTCTTTTAGCAGTCCATGGTACTTTCAGCATTCTCTGCCAACACCACAACTCAAAAGCATCAACTCTTCTTCGGTCTTCCTTATTCATTGTCCAGCTCTCACATGCGTATGAGGCAATTGAAAATACCATGGCTTAGGTTAGGCGCACCTTAGTCTTCAAAGTTGTATCTTTGCTTTTCAACACTTTAAAGAGGTCTCTTGCAGCACATCTGCCCAGTCCAATACAACATCTGATTTCCCGACTGCTGCTTCCATGAGTGTTGATCGTGGATCCACATAAAATAAAATCCCTGACAACATCAATCTTTTCTCTATTTATCATGTTGCTTACTGGTCCAGCTGTGAGGATTTCTGTTTTCTTTATGTTGAGGTACAATCCACACTGAAGGCTGCAGTCTTTGATCTTCATCAGTAAGTGCTTCAAGTCATCTTCACTTTCAGCAAGCAAGGCTGTGTCATCTGGATATCATAAGTTGTTAATGAGTCTACCTCCAATCCTGATGCCACATTCTTCTTCATATAGTCCAGCTTCTTGGATTATTTGCTCAGAATACAGATTGAATAACTGTGGTGAAAGGATACAACCCTGAAACACACCCTTCCTGATTTTAAACCATGCAGTACCCCCTTGTTTTGTCTGAAGGACAGCCACTTGGTCTATGTATAGATTCCTCAAGAGCACAATTAAGTGTTCTGGAATTCCCACTCTTTGCAATGTTATCTATAATTTGTTATGATCCAGGGTTAAATGCCTTTACATAATCAATGCAACACAGGTAAACATCATTCTGTTATTCTTTGCTTTCTGCCAAGATCCATCTGACATCAGCACTGATATCCCTCATTCCATGTCCACTTCTGAATTCAGCTTGAATTTCTGGCAGTTCCCAGTCAACATACTTCTGCAACAGTTTCTTAATTATCTTCAGCAAAATATTACTTGTGTATGATATCAATGATATTGTCCAATAATTTCCACATTCTGTTGGATCACCTTTCTTTGAAATGGGTACAAATATCAGTCTCTTCCAGTTGGTTGGCCAGGTAGCTGTCTTCCAAATTTCTTGGCATAAACGAGTAAACGCCTCCAGCACAGCATCTGTTTGTTGAATCAAAGGATATTCCATTAATTCCTGGAACCTTGTTTTTCACCAATTCCTTCAGTGCAGCTTCGACGTCTTCCTTCAATTCTACTGGTTCTTGATCACATGCCACCTCCTGAAATATGCTGCTCTCCATTTAAGAGCAAGTTTCTGAGTCTCTTCTGACATCCATTTTGGCCTTTTCTTCAACTTTCCTTTTTTTAAAATGGCCTTTTGCTTTTTTTCATGTATGATGCTCTTGATGTCATCACACAACTCATCTGGTCTTCAGTTACTGGCAATCAATGTGCTAAATCTACTCTTCAGATACTCTCTAAATCCAGCTAGGATGTAAAGGTTATATTTTGGTTGTTGTGGACTTGTTTTTATTTTCTTCAGCTTCCACTTGAACTTGCCTAAGAGTAACTGATGGTCTCTTCCACAGTCAGCTCCTGGCCTTGTTCTGACTGATGATATTGAGCTTCTCCATTGTCTCTTTCAACAGACACAGTCAGTTCCATCTGGCAAGGTCCACATGTAGAGTGACCGTTTACGTTGTTAAAGAAAGATATTAGCAATGAGTAAGTCGTTGGTCTTGCAAAATTCTACCATGCCATCTCTGGGATCATTTCTATCACCAAGGCCATATTTTCCAGCTGCCAGTGATTCTTCTTTGTTTCCAACTTTTGCATCCCAATCACCAGTGATTATCAATCCATCACGATTTCATGTCTGGTCAATTTCAGACAGCAGACGTTGGTAAAAATCTTCAATTTCTTTATTTTTGGCTCTGGTGGCACAGTGCTTAAGACATTTGACTGTTAACTAGAAGGCTGGAGGTTCAAACCCACCAGCTACTCCTTGGAAGGAAGATGGGGCAATCTACTTCTGTAGTGATACCACCTTGGAAACTCAAGGAGGGGTCACTATGAGTCGGATCCAACTCAACAGCAGTGAGTTTGGTTTTGTGGTTTGGTTTAGAAACAGCATGCCCTAACTCTAAGATGGTGGCGCCCCACTCAAAGATGGCAGCGCCCCACTTAAAGATGGTGGCCAATCACACCATTTTGAATGTGTTGCTCTCCACAGCCCTGTCTATAATCCAATCTGACACATCAGCCTCCTGAAAGGGCTCACTATGCCACTTCCACATCTCCCATCTCAGAGCTTCGACCTGTCATTTCTCTCATCTGGTTATTGTGAAGAATCACCGACCCTGGAGACTTCCCGAGTTCCTCCTGTTTTGCTTCATCAGCCAGGATAAATCTAGTTCAGAAGCAAAACTCATCCCAACCCATCACCATTGAGTCAATTCTGACTCCCAGTACCTTAACAGGACAGAGTAACTGCCCCAAAGGTCTCCAAGGTTGTAAATCTTTACAGAAGCAGACTATCACATCTTTATGCTGCTGAGTGCCTGGGTTTGAACTGCTGACTTTTTGGTCAACAGCTGAGTGCTTAACCACTATGCCACCAGGACTCCTTGATTTGGTTTGAAGCTCTACTTAAAGGGCCCGTAGGAGCTGTCCACAATTGGATGTTCGTAATCTGAGGACTGATCAGGCAGGCAAGACGTAGTAACAATAATAAAAACCCAGTTGTCGCTGAGTGGCTTCTGGCTCACGGCACCCCACGTGTGTCACAGAACTGTGCTCGCCAGGCTTTACAATGGCTGTGGCCTCTCAGAAGTAGATCACCAGTATTCTGAAGAGTCTCTGGGTGGACTAGAACCTACAACATTTAGATTAGAAGGGGACCATGGAACTATTTGTGCTGCTCAGGGGAACGAAGATGCATAACCTTCCCCTCAAAGTGACAATTTCTCAGCAGCAACTTTTCCAATGAAACGATGAACGTAAAGGAAACTCCTGAAGACGACAACTTTCCTTCGTGAGCATCCCCACCTCCCGACCACGGCTGGGCTTCCCTCGACCATGGCATCACCTCTGGGTCTCTCTGCTCCCTCACTTCTAGAAAACACCCAAAGCGGGGCTACGGCTGTGTGCCTTTAAGCAAACTCCCTTCATCAATCAACAGCTTCTTGCTAAACCCGAGCAGCCGGCCGTGTGAAGACAGCACATACCGGGCTTGCAGGTCTCCGCGATACTCAAGGCGCAGGCCCGGCCGAAGACGACCAGGTCCAGGAGTGAGTTTGCTCCGAGGCGGTTGGCGCCGTGCACGGAGGCGCAGGCAGCCTCCCCACAGGCGTACAGGCCGGGCACGACCTGGTCCTGGCCGTTCACGTGCTTCAGAACCTGTGCCAGAGCAGTTAAGGCGAGATGTCACCGTGCATGTCTCTTACAGGCCATCTTTACAGGCGGACTTCTTAGGGGTGTCTACGCCTTGGTGGGTCCTCCTGGGGACCCGCTGAGCTCCCAGCCCCACACCTTCCCTCCGCCTTGCTGGTCGGACCCTCCCAGGGACCCGCTGAACCCTCAGCCCTACATCCTCCCTCTGCCCTGCTGACTGGTCCTCCTGGGGACCTGCTCAACCATCAGCCCCACATTCTCCCTCCGCCCTGCTAATCATTCCTTCTGGGGACCTTCTGAACCGTTAGCCCTCCACCCTCCCTCCACCCTGCTGGTCAGTCCTCCCAGGGACCTGCTGAACTGTCAGCCTCACACCCTCCCTCTGTCCTGCTGGTTGGTCCTGTCACAGATCTGCTGAGCTTCCAGCCCTATGCCCTCCCTCTGCCCCCCTGGTTGGCTCTCCCGGGGACCCGCTAAACCCTCAGCCCCATGCCCTCCCTCTGCCCCCTGGTTGGCCCTACCAGGGACCCGCTGAACCCTCAGCCCCGTGCCCTCCCTCCGCCCCCTGGCTGGTCCTACCAGGGACCTGCTGAACCCTCAGCCCCATACCCTCTCTCCGCCCCCTGGCTGGTCCTCCCGGAGACCTGCTGAACCCTCAGCCTCACTCTCCCTCCACCCTGCTGGTCACCCTTCTGAACATTCCCTCACTCTGCCTGAACAGGGCCCAAATGCTGGCACCTGTGACCTCAATCCCACGTTGTCACCCCAGGGCTGGCTGGCTGGACCCATTTACTCTGTGCTAAGGCAGACTGGAAGAGCTCTGGTAGTGTAGTAGGAGCTCTGGTAGCGTAGTGCCTAAGGCATATGACTGCTAACCAGGAGGCTGACTGTTCAAACCCACCAGCCACTCCTCGGAAGGAAGGTTGGACAATCTCCTTCCGTAGTGATACTGCCTTGGAAACCCAAAGAGGGGTCACTATGAGTCAGATTCAACTCGACGGTAGTGAGTTTTTTTGAGTAAGGTACACTGGCAGGACATCAGGATGCTAAACTCGATGTCAGCAGACTGAGTCGAATTCACTCATCAGTCTATCAGTCTACCCATCCCTACCTATCTCACAGCAACCATGATGGACTAAAGCAAACTGACAGGCTCTCTGGGGACCGTCAACTGCACCAAAGGCAGGAATTGTAAACATCACTCTGTTTACAAGGTCACACGAGAACAAGATGAGATTACAGGAAGGTGATCATATCTGGAGAAACTGCCAAGGACGGCGGCTCTGAGCACCTACTCCCCGGGGCTAACCGCCTTAGCACCAGCTGCTCTCAGAGAGCAGAGGAACAGGAGGGCAGCTACGGCCTCTCCTCCGGCAGCCGGCAGTGCCCTCGGACAAGCACAGCCTCCACAACACGGCTCCGAGTCGCCTGGCCCGGTGTGCACCCGCCCCAATGGCACCTGGCCCCGGTAGTTGGTGGGGATGCCGCCCATGTTGTAGTGCACTGTGGGGAGCACGGGGATGGGCTCCTTGGTGACGTCCACACCCGCGAAGATCATGGCTGTCTCCGAGATGCCCGGCAGACGCATGGCCAGCTGCTCGGGGGGCAGGTGGTGCAGCTGCAGGTAGACGTGGTCCTTCTCAGGGCCACAGCCTCTGGAGGCAGGAAGAGACGTGACAAGTGAGGCAAAGGCGACTAAGAGCTACAGTTCATTACGGCCGAGTCGAGACACAGAGCCACTGCATCACATGCCTTTCCTTCATTTGTAGCGAAGCATGATCTGTAATCTCAGGGAGTCGTGTCTCAGAACGTTAGCAGTTTTATAAGGAGCCAATCCAGCACACAGTGCCTGCTGGAGGTCAGCTGGTGCATGGTTAACTGTTCTAGACACATACTTTGCCATGTGTGTTGATGGACTCCGACGCACAGTGTGGTCCACAGCCCTTTCTTAAAGGACTAAGAGCAAAACACAATGGCAGCTGCCACAATTATGCTACAGAAGGAGTAGCCGTCCACTGCCACACACGGACACGAAACCCAGTGCAGTAGCTACCACGTACACGCCACCCTTCCCATAGCTGCCCAAGTAAAACTAACACATCCCTCTAGATACTGCAGGCCCGGTTCCAGAGCACCACAATGAAGTGAGTCACACGAGGTTTTCAGTTTCCCAAAGCATGTAAAAGTCATGCTCATGTGCTAGTTAGTATTAAGCATGCAGTAACATGACAAACTCTGAAATATCGCAACAATTATCAAAATGTGACAGAGATACACAAAGTGAGCACATGCTGTTAGAAAAACGGGACTGGCCTACTTGCCTGATGCAGGGGCACCACAAACCTTCCATTTATAAAAACATAAAACCTGCAAAGCGCACTAAAAGGCAGTCTGCTGGAACAGCGCCATTCAGACAAGGTCCTTCTCCAGACGGGGGAGACAGCATTCCGTTCCCACCCCTGTCTAGGAAGAATCATTCACCCGGCATGCTTTCTAAGCCTCTACTGCGTGCCAGGGATCACGCTCCAAAAAAACTAAACTCTCTGCCCTCGAGTCAGTTCTGCCTCATAGCAACCCCTTGTTGGGTTTCCGAGGCAGTATCTCTATGGAAGTAGGTTGCCCCATCTTCCTTCCAGGAGCAGCTGGTGGGCTTGAACTGCCAGCTTTCTGGTTAGCAGTCAGATGCCTTAGCACTCTGCCACCAGAGCTCCCAGGGATCATTCTAGTGTGAGAAAGAGAGTCATGGACATGCAGACAAGGACCCTGCCTTGCTGGGCCTCACACCAGCTTTGGGAGCAGCACGTTTTCTGATAAAAGCACTAGAAATCCTCTGACACCAATGCCCCTGAGAACCACCTGACTCCTGTCCATCTTTTCTAGTAAAAGGCAGACCCTTTACAGGCCACTCCACAGGTATCTGATGATCTGCAAACAAGGAGCGTTCTGACAAGAGTGGGGGAGCCCCTGGGATCTGAGGGTGGCGCTCGTCACATGAACATACAGCGTCTTTCTCAAGACGTTTTCAGGTACCTATCTGACACTATATGCAAGGACAGTGTCAAAAGCCTCCGAAGGACAGAAAAACCGACACACCTCACAGGCCACCAAACACCCAGGGGTGTTAAAAACCCCCATACACCATGTGGGGCTCAGGTTATAGCAAGCACCCTCCCCTCCCCTGTGCTGACCTCTATCACACACGCTGTGCCCACAGATCTCAGGGGCTCCCTCACTCTGGTCAGATACCCTCACTGACTCTATCACACACGCTGTGCCCACAGATCCCAGGGGATCCCTCACTCTGGTCAGATATCCTCACTGACTCTATCACACACGCTGCGCCCACAGATCCCAGGGGTGCCCCCACTCTGGTCAGATCCCCCACTGACTCTTATCACACACACACCACACCCACAGATCCCCGGGGCTCCCCACTCTAGTCAGATCCCCGCTGACTCTATCACACACACGCTGTGCCCACAGATCCCAGGGGCTCCCCCACTCTGGTCAGATCCCCTCTGACTCTATCACACACACACCACGCTCTCAGATCTCAGGGGCTCCCCCACCCTGGTTAGAATTCAATGACTACGGTCTTCAGAGAACCCTCCCAGATGGGCACTGGTCAGAGGGACTCGTGGAGGCACTGTACACGTGCACGTGCATACATGGGGCAGGGCAGTTATCTACGGCTGTGTGGGAGGCTGTTAGCCGTACATGCGTGTGTGTATGACATCTGTACATGCACTGGTGGGGCACGGTGTGTACCACACGTCTGTGTGTGCACAGGGGGAGGCTATTAACTGTGATTGTATGTCTGTATAATGATATGTGCATGAGCACACGTGGGACAGGGTGTGTACCACACATCTGCGTGTGCATGGGGAGAGGATGTTAACTGCATGTGCGTGTGTGTATAAGGACATGCATGTGCACACCTGGGAGGGTATGTACCACACGTCTGCGTGTGCATGGGGGGAGACTGTGAACTGAGCATGTGTGCGTGTATAAGGACATGCATGTGCACAACTGGGATGGTATGTACCACACGTCTGCATGTGCATGGGGGGAAACTGTGAACTGCACACGTGTGTGTAATTACGTGTGTGTGCACACATGGGACAGGGTGTGTCTGTGTGTGCACAGGGGAAGGCTGTGTGTGTGTGCACATGTATATATGACGTGCACATGCACACGTGGGGCAGGGTGGTTACCACATGTGCCTGTGTGTGCACGAGGAAAGGCACGTGGGTATATGAGTACATAATGACATCTCTGCAGGTAAATTGAACACACCTTCCCTCCCGGATCTCCAGCGTCATGGAGCGTGACACGACATCTCTGGAAGCCAGGTCCTTCGCGACGGGGGCGTACCTCTCCATGAAGCGCTCGCCCTGACTGTTGATGAGGATCCCACCCTCTCCACGGCAGCCCTCCGTGATGAGACAGCCGGCGCCGTAGATGCCTGCAAGATGGCACACGGTTACACCTGATGGCGATGGCGTTCGTCACACGAACACACAGCATCTTTCTCAAGATGTTTTCAGGTACCGAGAAAAGGGCGTGAAGAGGGTGTGACACTCAGAACAAGGAAGCTGGAAAGGGTAAGGACCAGAGGACGTGCCAAGCACAGAAAGCACCGGCCAAGGCACCAGTGAGGACACTGCTGCAGAAAGCGGGGCTCACTGGGGAGAAGGGGCTCAGGGCCACAAACAGGGGCGGAGATCTGCGGATACCCCACTAAAACACGTTCGCTAAATTGCTTAGAACAACGAACTGTATGTCGGGGCTTTTCAACTTTAATTCTTAGACATTTCTTTTGCACCATCAAACTCTGTCACTACTCTGTATGAGAACTGCCAGGTTCAAAAATGCACGAGTAACCAGGCAACAGCAACAAAGGTCCCCCGGGTTAAAACTCACTTTGTCCTCAAGTCTGGCTGCTTCACAGATACTAACTCAGTTAATTCCATAATGAGCCCAGGCTGACCCCTTAAAGGTCACCCTTACCTTCACAGACGAGCCAAAAGGGTCACTGAGCTGGCCAGGACAGAGTTCCAGCCCAGGCCTGGCCAATACGACTCAGAGTCTCAGGACCAGGAGCCAGGCTCTGGGATTTTAACCAGGAAGCCTCCACCAGTGCACAGAGCTGGCTGCCTGGCTCAGGCAAGAACCACCGTGCTTTTCACCACCTCTCACTGCCCTGACCTCTGGGCGTGCTCAGTGGGGTATTCTTCGCGCACTGGAAGGGAGCTGCGAGAAAAGCAGCTTTGAGTAAGTCAGGGGATTCAGGAGTCTCTGTGGGGTTTCCCCGACAGTAATGGTAATTAAAAACAGCAAACCACCCATGGGGATGGGAAGAGGGGCTGAGGCTGAGGCCTGGCTCTTAGGCACCGTGGCCATGCTGGTCCCATGGGGGTCTATGTGGGTCTTGTCTGGGCATAGACTGGGAGAGACAACAAGTGGAACACCAACAAGAGTGAACGCACAGCCGAAGGGCAACATCTGGTGCCGGGGGCGCCTGGAGGGAGCTGAGAGAGCGTCTGCTCCTGGCTGTACTCTGCACGCAGCTGCCTCTCCTGTCTCTGAAGCACCACCCCACCCCACCCCACCCCCTCACGTGCTGACGACCACCTATAGCTCGTCCAAGACCTCCCTCCCTCGCTCCCAAATCCCATAGTCACACCGCCAACTGCCAGCTGGTTTTCCCAGAAAGCCGAGAGGAGCCACTCCAGGGGCTGACCCTCCTCCCTGGAGCCCTTGTGGCAGCTGGGGCTGGCAGCCACACCTAAAGCCAGCTATTCTCTCATGAATGTCCAGCACGTGTACACAGCAGCAGAGAGACGGAGCCTTGTCCCAGAGCACAGCCACGTGGTGCCATGGACACGGGGTGTTTCTCCACAATCGTGGTGAGGGCCACCCTGGGGCTGGGGGGTGGGGGATGACACCAGACAGTGCCCTGAGGCTGGGGGGGCACAGGACACTGCCCTGAAGCTGAGGGAGGCTGGGGGGTGGGAGGCATAGGACAGCACCCTAAGACTTAGGAGGCATAGGACAGCACCTTGAAGCTGGGGGGGCAGGGGGCACAGGACAGCACCCTGAGGCTGGGGGGCCACAAGATGGCACCCTGAAGCTGGGGTGCATAGGACAGCACCGAGGCTGGGGGGCAGGGAGCACAGGATGGCATCCTAAGGCTTGGGGTACATAGGACAGTGCCCTGAGGCTGGGGGGGGTGACACATGACAGTGCCCTGAGGCTGGGGCTGAGCACAAGATGGCACCGTGCATCGTGCTAGGAAGTCAGGAGAGAATCTCTCAAGGAAACAGCATTTCCACTGGACCTGAGGGACGAGAAGGCAGGTGCTGGAATGGCCCCCTCCTACCTGTGGGGTGGAACTGGACAAACTCCAGGTCCTGGCAGGGCAGGCCCGCTCTGGTGACCATGGCGGTCCCGTCGCCGGTGCTGGTGTGGGCGGAAGTGCAGCTGAAGTAGGTGCGTCCATAGCCCCTGGAAGAGACGCAAGCCCGTCACCTCGTCCCCGTGGGCACCCCAGAAGGGCTGGGACAGCACAGAGCAGCCTGGGCAGCCGGCCACATGTGCACTGCTGTCCACACGCGCCCACACGCAGAGTGCGCCTGGGGTGACACTGCACCAGGAGAGTGGGGACGCCCACCGGTCCCTCCAGTCCTGCCTGAGTGTCTCCTGATTAACACACCTAGCTTTTATGATGAAAGTTTAAAAATGGTCAAAATAGCATGTGTCATGCATTGAACTGTGTCCCCCAAAACAGGTGTCCACTTGGCCAGGCCATGGTTCTCAGTGCTGTGCGCCTGTCCTCCATCCTGTGTTGGAAATCCTCACATCTGTGTTTTTATCGAGGCCAGATCAGGGACAGTGACATTAAGGAGGTGGGGTGTAACCCACAGGATTAGCTCGTCTATTGAGGCAACCTCTTCTGAGATCCTCAAAAAATCCAAAACCAAACTCACTGCTGTCGAGCTGGCCCTGACTCAGCAACCTCCATGGGTTTCCGGGGCAGCATCACTACGGAAGTAGATTGCCCAACCTTCCTGCCGAGGAGTGGCTGGTGGGTTTGAACCACCAGATTCTGGTTAGCAGTCACATGCCTTAGGCACTATGCCAGCAGAGCTCCTACCTTCTAAGATACAGGTTAAATAAGTGAGGGGAGATGGAGGGACCTACTCCCACCAAGAGAAGAGCCTGCAGGCAGAGTGCATCCTCTGGACCCAGGGCCCGTTCTGAGAACCTGCTAGACCCGGGGGGACACATGAAGGCTGCCCAGAGGCAGAAGCTGAAGGAGACAAGGACCTTCCACCAGAGCTCACAGGGAAAGGGCTACTCGGGAGCTGGCCCAGTGCGTTTGGACTTGTAGCTGCCTAGACCTGAGAAATCCATCTGCTGCAGACGCCCACGCTTGGTGGCACGTGTCACGGCAGCACCTGGGGTCGAACCCTAGACCTGAGAAATCCATCTGCAGCCGTCCACCCACCAGTGGTATGCGTCTCACCAGCACCCGGGGTCTAACCAGTGTGCATATGACAGTCCCTTATCTTCATCGTTGGAAGAAACAGCAGTAAGAACCAGGCCAGGGTCCACGACCACCAGTGGAGTCACCCAGGAGTGAGCAGGTGGCACCCCAGGCCCGGCTCGTCCTGAGCCCCCAGTTCCAGCCCTGATGGGTGACCACCATTAATGCCCACCGAGGCCACCTGTGCACACCCACTGCTGGGGCAGGTGCTGTGCTGTCCCCCCTGCAGATGAAGGCCTGAAGCCAGGATGGTCACCACGTCCCCAAGGCTGTGGCCACAGCCTGTCCTACAGTCCGTCCTGTAAACCTCACTTCTACTAGAGCAATGAAACTGCTCTAAGTGAGTGTGCGGCAGCAAGGACCAGAGCCTACCCAGTGGCGACCACCGTGTTTTTGGCGCGGATGCGGTGGATGGACCCGTCCTCGATGCACAGAGCAATGACACCACGACACTCCCCGTTCTCCATCAGAAGGTCCAAGGCAAAGTACTCGACAAAATAGCTGGTGTCGTATCTCAGGGACTGGAAGGAAATGCAGGGAGCCACGTTCTAAACTGCACTCAGGACAAGCGTTAAAACAACACCTAAAGTGACATCAATGTTAACCAGCAGATCAGGTACCCAAGAGAACACCAGGCTCAGGACAGAGCCACATCACCCACGTCAACAATGTGCTGATGGTACTGAGGCCAACAGAAAAGGCATTTCCCATTTGGCAGGAGAAACAAAACGGAAAGAATGCAAACATGTCGACACAGGCTCCAGAAAGTGGCACCGCAGGCTGGAGTGCTCCTGCTGACTGTCTCATTCTGAGCCTTACACACCGCACCTGTGGGCTCTTCACTGCTCCTGGACGTGGCTGTATGGAAGGAGGCTAAGCTGCACGAGCACAGAGCCGAGGCCCACGGACCACGGGGGACCAGGGGCCAGCCCACGCTGCACACATGGCCAGTGCACAAGCAGAGGGCAGCCCCCCACTGCAGAGAGTGCAACCTGCACAGGCTGGTGAGACCAGGTCAACGGACAGGTGCATAACAAACTGCCACGCTTCCCAGGCAGGCCGTCCACACACGTGTCAGAACCCCTGGTGCCCCGACACTCGCAAATCCACAATGTGCACGGAGCCAGAGCTCCGGTCCACGTCCACGCCAAGCTGCACTGACCACCCCATGACCGCTGCCCCTCCAGTCCTCACCTAGCTTTCACAGGCCAGTCCCGAAACAAGCCAGTCAGGGGCTGAGAGGCAGAAAAGGGCCTTAACGCGGCTCTCTGCTGTTACAGTCCCAGGACAAGAGACTGTGCGTTCCAAACCTGAGACATGACAGTTATCCATCCAAATTCCCAGAACAGAAAGGAAATGCTCAACTTTGTGCCTGGTGTCCCTGTGTGCCGCCCCCCCGCCCACCCACTCACCCGGCCATACAGGGTGTGCAGCAGCGAGTGGCCGGTCCGGTCGGCCACACAGCAGCAGCGGTGGGCCTGCCCCCCCTTCCCGAACTTGAGGCTCTGCCCGCCAAACGCACGCTGGTAAATCCTTCCATCCTCAGTTCTGCTGAAGGGCATGCCGTAATTTTCCAGCTGTGAGGCACAAGAGAGAAAAGCACTGCTGAGAGCAGCCCAGACACTCCCAGCTCACAGCCGCTGACGACTCACAGAGCTGCCAACCCCAGGCCGCCGCCACGAGACAGCGACGACACTTCAGGAAGCTCCGAAGTTTCTTCCTCAACGACGTGAATATTGAAAGATAGAAAAAGCTCCCCTTGTCACACCAGCTCATTCTTTCTTTCAGCTGGTCACGTCTGCCTTGGTCCTCTGGCTTTGCTGGAACAGCATTCACCCCACCCCAGCTACCTGGTCTCGGTCTGCCCCCCTCACTGGAGCATTCCAGCCTCCATGCCAACCCCCGTCCTTGATCCCCATCCCCACCCCTCACTGGAACATCCTGACCCCCTCCCAGCTCCTTGGTCCCCGTCTCCTACCCCGCTCACTGGAACGTCCTGGCCCTACCCCCCCAGCTCCTTGGTCTCCGCCGCCCCCCATCTCACTTGAATGTCCTGGCCCCACCCCC